TACTTACTTAAAATGACAGTCCAATTAAAATATTTCATGAACTCATCCAGACTTTCATTCCATCTCTAGCATGCAGTCCAAATAAGAAGGGATACCTTATTCTTGGAATGAAAGTTTGCAAGTAAGATATAAAAATTTAAAATAGGAATGACATTTTTTAAGATGGAATGAAAAATTGAAATTTAGATTGTAATTTTACTATAGAATTATTATTTAATTTTAGGAATTTTTTCCGTTGATGGAGACCGAGCCAGGAGGAAGGTGTTGTCCGCTCACTTTGACCGAGTGCAGAAAATCCCGAGAGCTAAAGACCGAGCCTGCATCTCCTCGGGCTAGTCAATCCGCGAGTTCAGTCATAGACAGACCATGCCCCAACTGAATGCTAAACGAGGCTTTTTTTTTTTCTACACAATGAAGTAATGCAGGGAGTACCAAAAAAAGTAGCCCGTTGCACCAACTAAGGAAGGAATCCGTTACTGATTGTCGTATCAAGAACATGAAGTGAAGGAGTATCTTAGTACCGTCCGACCTTTGGGCAATGTGGCGACCCCTCTTTGAGTTTGGTAAGGCGACACAACAACCCTCCTGCTTCAATACATACATATTCATCAGTTTCTGGGCATGGTCCTTTGATGGAAGGTTAGTAACTGCAATTAAAGGAAAACCTAGATCGTCATCCTGAGATTTTTACATTAATGCTATTAAACCCACCGGGGAGTCCAAGACAATAACCGACACTAAATACTCATAGGTTGACATTTGGGATTTGTCACATTTTCTTAATGACTTCATCGGTTCAGCCATCACTAAAAAATTTATAATTGAACGGATGACGACCTCTCTTGCTGTCTTTGCTTTTACCCATGTTATAAGAAGGGTCACCCAAACTCTGCTCCTCCACTGTGGGAATAGTAAAATTGTCATTAAGGCGTGTTTTCTTGCTGGCAATAAGCATAAAATGATTTTCCTTATCTGAGTTAATATCGAAGGGAACATAGTCTTCTTAGAACGACCCTGCGACTGCAAAATCTATCTCGACCTCGTGGTCCTCGTCCTCTTTGGAATCTAATAATGGTCACCTGAGCCACCACCTCGTTTTCCCTCCGTGTTATGACGATTCATTTGGAGGGGGTCTGAGTCGGATCCCGACTCCGAGTCTGAGGGGATCAGATTTGGACTAACACCTGGGGTCTGGGTTTTCTTACTCCCTTCCTGGATTCGAGGAGGGAAGGCATCAACATGGAAGGTCACTACATTCTCTTGACAAATATCCATTCTCGTACCCCGGATCCGCAGCGGTGGAGAAGAACGACCCAGGTCTTCCCGCTTGTTGCTCTGGTTTAGATTCATGTTAATTGCTTGGGTTTGGGTTTTTATTCGTTTTCTTAGTTTTCTTCTTACTAACTTGAAAGGGGGGCGGTGAATCGTGGCTGGCCTGACCATCTCGTAAATCCCTTCTTAATTTTTTTTCGGCTCATTCTCCTTTGCATTCTCCTTCCACTGTTCCGTCGAACTTTACTTATGTCTGCCCTCTTTTTTCTTTTTGCCATCGTTTTTGCCCCAGGGGTCCCTTTTATTTTTTTTTTGGATCTTCTCTCCACCTTCTCTTTCACATCCTATCTCTCTTACATCCCCCTCTCCGTTCTTAGTTCTTTTTTTTTTCTCTTTTTTTTTCTGTCCCCTTTCTTTTTTCATTTCCTTTGTTATCTTTCCCCATAACTCCTTTGTCTCCCTTCTATTTCCTTCCGCCACCTTCTCTCTTTCTCTCATCATTCTTCTCGGCTTTCCTTTTCTGCCCCCTCCTACTCTTCGCCCTCCTTATCCTGATCATCTTTTTCCTTATCCTTCTTCCGGCGGCCCCACTTTCCTCGTGCTCGTCCGAATTTCACAAGGCAGTTATCGTCAGTATATTTGTGGAAATGACATCAGCAAACTGAACACCACGATGTTTCCACACATACACTGTTAATTTTCATCACACTGTGTCAGTGTGTCAATAGGTAAACTATCATACGCTCCTTATATTTTATCTTGGCCGAAGGGGCCAAGTTAAACCTTAAGTTATGCAGGTAAGGATCTAATGAATTTTTGTATGCTGGATGATCTCTAATGAACTTCCCAAAGGCGTCCTGGACTGCTCTTTTCAGAAGTCAAGTCCCATCACTGAGATGGAAACATCCAAGCACCGCACCCAAAAATAATCATGTTTCATCGCATCCCTCCACTCTTTCAATTAATCCTCTGTCATCCATGAATGGAAGGACACCTTGTACTTCTTCTTATCCATTTCAATTTCAGTAATTGATTTAGCCGAGGCAACGTACGTAACAATATTTTTTCCTTCGTTTACAAACAAACCCCTTTTTTGGGTCGCACGCATTACCCCAGGTGCAACCCATCCGTTTTCATATATGTGGATTAATCTGCTCTTGAGGTCAACGGGGAGGGACGTTGCATCTTTACCCAAAAAAATTAAAACTGCATGGTTGTGTAACCAATCTGCTTAGATGCGATAGACCTCAGGGTCAAATATAAGCCGCACAAAATCATCTCCGCTCTCTACATGTTCTGGCGTCAAACCATCCAGCAAAATTTTGTCCAGAAAACATGCACTCAAGAGATCACAGATCCTTTGTTTACCTTCATCGGTCGACGGGTCTATGAGTTCAGACTCACTCTCGGATTGGGGGATAGGAGTCACTATGCTCCTATTATCCCTAACCCTATTAAATTAAAGGGGAAACTACGCAAGAGTCACAAAAATGAGTTATTCGCAGCCCTAAGGCTGCGGTATAGTGGGCTAAATTTTGGGAGACCGGTCTTTGGCAAAGTTGCGGACTACCTATAACTAACTCCGGTAGAACCGGGACGTTTGAAAAAAGGAAGGACCGGTCCTCGGGTGGAAGCGGACCCCTAAAAGAAGTGGGGGGTGTTGGACCGGTCCTCGGGTGGAAGCGGACCCGAAAAAGAAGTGAGGGCATGTGAACTGCAAGAGGGCCCTTAGGCCCACGTATTGTGGCTGGTATTTTCAAAAAAGAGAGGTCATGTGCAACGAAACAGGCGTTTGCAAGAGGCAACTTTGACGATTTCTGTGCTCGAAGGAACCCGTAAAAAAATCTGAAATTTTGAGAATCCATAGATGAGGTTGTGTTATTTCCAGGGAAAAATTATAACATTAAAAAAAAATAATTTAGACTGCGAAATAATCATCGCGCTGATTCGACACATTTTTTATTTTTGCCACTGTGCCATGTGTGGGCCAACTGAAAAAGTACTCAAAATTTAGTGAGTTTTCACGCTCAGAACCATACGTAAAACAACCTGAAAATTGGAGTATTCGTAGATTTTATTTTCATCTTTCCAGAAAAAATGCTAAAAACAAAACAAAACCATTCCAATTGTGAAATAGATTGCGGCCACAATTTGACCCATATTTCAATTTGGGCATTCAACCTCTCTCTCTCTCTCTCTCTCTCTCTCTCTCTCTCTCTCTCTCTCTCTCTCTCTCTCTCTCTCTCTCATTTCTCTCTCTCATCTCTCTCTTTTATTTCTTTCTCTCTCTCTCATTTCTCTCTCTCTCTCTCTCTCTCTCTCTCTCTCTCTCTCTCTCTCTGTGTGTGTGTGGTGGCCCCCCCCCTYCTCTCTCTCTCTCCTTATTTCTCTCTTTCTCTCTTTGTCGCACACTCKTAACAWTAAATGAAACTSTCYCTCTCTCTCTCTCTCTCTCTCTCTCTCTCTCTCTCTCTCTCTCTCTCTCTCTCTCTTTTGTGCTCGCTCTYWGTCTCWYTSYYTTGGCTACCTTAGGGCTGCGTTCCCCACGCCCACGCGGGAGACAATAATTGCACGCGGCAATTTATACAACCCAACTTTCTGCCCAGGTAGGGTGCCCCAAGTGCAATTGCAAACTGTACCTTGCCTTATAGTGCAATTATAACTTGTTTTTGTGACCAAAATCAATGAGGCAATCAATAAGGATCGTCCACGGAACCACATCGAGGAAGCCTACACGGCTTCAGATATATATAGTGAACCCGTAGTCGAAGAGCTTCGTAAAAGGGCAGCAAGCTATGTCCGCGTGGTGGTTTTTGGCCTGGAGTCTTGGAGACTTCCCCCTACAGATTCTGGTTCAGATACTTGTCATTTGTAGTCAGCAGCTAGATTTTTATATTTTTTATATTTTTTTATTTTATTAAAAGGCTAATTCAATTACCTGTCGAATCTCAAGAGGACGGTCTTTTTTCATTGTCATTATGGTATTACGGGGAACCCCGTAGCAGCCACATCCGTGCTCAAGCCTCCAACGAGGGAACATGCGCGAGCTGCACCCACCAGCAGGCGTGATACCCGTAGCAGCCACATCCGTGCTCACATCCGTGCTCAAGCCTCCAACGAGGGAGCTGTGCACCCAGCAGCAGGTGCGACACCTGCTCTCCAGCAGGTGGGTGATACCGGCCAGGGGTCAGATGGGCCAGTCACTGTGCCTGCCCTCCGGTCCCTTCCCCCTATGAACACCAGCAGTCTCTGCTCAATGCCACTCGGGGGGACCAACGGCATCTCTCTAGGTGGCGGGCACCAAGCTTGCCCAGGAAGGCACATGAGGCCAATGGCGATCCAACCCACGACCTCCTGACTGCCACTTGCGTGCCTTACCAACTGAGCTACAGGCCGCTGGAGTGGTCTTTCGCCCGAAGCTTCGCAAATGTGTGCTCATCGTGGCGCCGTTGATGAGCTTGGCCGGTGCTGCCTCGCTCACCCTGAGGGGCCGCGCAACTGCCGTTTCCCGGCTTGTAGTAAAATTAAAAACCAAAAAAGAACCAAAAAAAAAGAAAAAAAAGAAAAAAGAAGAAGAAGACAAAAAAAACACAAAAGATTTGAAGGTCGCAAAGCGGCACTGTCTTATGCGTCCCGGCCTAGCACCCCCCCCCCCCCCCCCCCAACCTCCCCCATATCTGATCACCGCAGATTTTCTATCGGTACTCGGTGACGAGAAAAATCTCCGGTGAAGGAAACGGGGAAACAAGAACTTACGCGTTTACGATGATGGGCCATCAAGGTGAGGATGCTTTTTGCTGCTGCTGCTGCTGCTCTCTCTCTCTCTCTCTCTCTCTCTCTCTCTCTCTCTCTCTCTCTCTCTCTCGCACAACTAAGCTTGGCAATCTGTTCTTTCATTCGGAGTCGACCAACCGGAGCAGAGGTAGGAGAAGAAGCGAAGAGGAGAGAAAGAGGAGAAGAGGGCGACGAGGGAGAAGAGGTGGACGCCAACACAAAGAGAAAAAGGAATTTTGGATGAAGGGGCGAAGCTGGAGAGAAAGTGGGCGAAGGGGGAGAAGAGAGAGGTTGACCCGAAGCCAAGGAGTATGAGATAGGAAACGGAGGAAGAGGGAGTGCGGAAAACGGCTTGGGAGGTGGAGGAGGGAGGAGGGAGGAGGAGCAGGGAGGAGGAGGGAGGACCGCGACGGTGAGGGTAAGCAGGTCGACCATGAAGAAGATGGAGAAGGAGCACGGACGACAAGGAGCAGTAGGAAAATGACAAGGACCATGATGATGATGAGGAGGAACGGTAAAACGTAGAGGGTGGAGGAGGAGGGAGGAGGAGGGAGGGGGGGAGACGAGCATCGACGGAAAGAAGAGGAACGAGGCACGAGGAGGAGGAGACACGCACACGATGAAACGGTCTCGCACAGTCTTTTTTTCCTTTTCTCTTTTCGTGAAATTGTTCATAGCGATCGTGACAACACACACGCCGACACATCTCAGAAGCGCGCGCACGACCATGAGCGATGACGATGATCGTCTTGGAGCAAGCTGTGTGGAGAAGATAGAGGGAGTAGGAGGGAGGAGGATGGTAGGGGAGCGATGACGATGATCGACCGTGGAGATATCGAGGAGTAAAGACGAGGAGGAGCAAGGTGGAGGAGAGAGAAGGAGAAGGAAGGAGAAGAGAGAAGGAGGAGGAAGGAGGAGAGAGAAATAGGGAGGGCAGGACGTGGAAGAGCAATGTGGAGGAGCGAGAAGCCTTGAAGTTGGACGATAACGGAGGAGAGATGACGACGGCGGTGAGGGATGGAGGAGGAGGAGGGAGGAGGCAGATGAGCACGGAGGCAGGAGGAGCGAGGAGGCCGACGATGAGGGAGAAGGATGAAGGATAGAGGCTGAAGGAGGAGGAGGGAGGAGGAGGCCGAGCAGCGAGGAAACGACAACAGTGCGGACGAAGAGATCGACCATGGAGGAGATGGAACAGAGAAGAAAGGACAAGGAGAAGTAGGGAAGACAAAGACCATGACGAGGAGGACAGACGACCATGGATGAAGGAGGAGGGAAGAGAAGCACGACCATAGATGGGGAAGGGAGGGAGGAGATCGACGGGCATGGATGGAGGAGGGAGGGGGCCGATGAAATGAACTTGCACGCGATGAGCATGGTGGACACACACACACAACGAAAGAAACAGTCCGGCGCACTCCTTTTTTTTTTTTTTTTTCCCTCCCTGAAGTTGTGTATGTATAGCGAACATGACAGACGCGCGTGCGTGCGACTGATGGACATGTATCTTTCCATGTTCTAGCGGAAGATTCAGTCTCCTCGATCGATCCACTACTCTCCAATTGTGCAAAATGAGACTGAATCTTCCGCTAGAACATGGGAAGGTACATTGGCAATTTTTTGTGTCTTGTGCATGTGGAGAGTATTGAATTTTGCTTGTTTTCCCCATAAATTCGGCTTTAAACATTGTTGTTTTTTTTTTTTTTCGTCCTTGTTTTTTTTTTTTTTTGGCTTGTTTTCCCCATAAATTCGGCTTTAAACATTGTTGTTTTTTTTTTTTTTCGTCCTTGTTTTTTTTTTCTTTTGGCTTGTTTTCCCCATAAATTCGGCTTTAAACATTGTTTTTTWTTTTTWTTTTTTTCATCCTTGTTTTTGTTTTTTTAATTCTTCATCCTTAAAAAGGTGTGCAATTTGATCCATTGCTCGATCTGGGGTGTGGTCCCATTAGCAGTCGGATAGTAGTTTGGCCGATCCAGTGTGACACGGAGTGGCAGCGGGATGACAGGTTCATTACGAATTTCTGGGGTGAGAAAACAGGAGGAAGGCAAAAAAAAAAAAAGAAACAGAGACCTCCCACCTGAAATCACGGCAGAGTGCTTCCCAGCCATCAGATCACAAATGATCTGATGGTGGTGGTTGCAACATCAGTGCAGAAAGTAACTGCCACATTTTCTGGAATAAACTCGACTTCTGTCAGCAGTGATCCTGACMSCCTCCATATACTCCGTGATTGAAGGAGGGCTCCACCCAATGAGATAATTGCACAACAGCAAGCAAAATACTGAAAATCTTCTATCCAGTGGGCCTATGGCCGACCCGCTTTTTTTTGGGGTTGGCCATGCCCCCAACGGATTGAAAAGATTTTGGCGGGAAGCTTCCTTTGCACCGGCATGCCCAGTGTTAAGGAGAGGAGGGGAACCAAGATCTCCTTCCTTTTTCGGGTAATACATGTAAAACACTGACCGTGGGATCACGGCTACTGCACGGCAGGATTTGGGTCACTCAACTGCCACACAAACTCTTTTCTATCCTATCCGGTTGCTAGTGGGACCATGCCTCTGTTGATCATCTGGCAGAGGTGAATTTCGCAAGTTTTTTTACATAAATTCGCCTTTAAATATTGTTTTACCCTTCTTAAAAAAAAAATAAAAAATGGTCGATCTGTTTTTTTTTATATAAATTCGCCTTTAAATATTGTTTTACTCTTCTTAAAAAAAAAAAAACCATGGTCGATCTGTTTTTATAGATATATTCGCCTTTAAATATTGTTTATTCTTGAATCCTTAGCAAACGTGGAATCATCTGCTCCATTGGTCGATCTGTTGATCCTGTGCCCCTCTCTCGATTGTTTGCCAATCAGTGTTTGTCTTGCTTTGACTCGCAGATGGCAGCGACGACGGACATACTCCTATACTCCTCCCTCCGCACTCCTGCCTGTGCTGCTTGGGAAAGATCCGTCACCGACGACCGACAGACTCCACCCTCCACACCCCTCCACACCCCTCCACACCCCTCCACACCCCTCCACTAACACGGACAACGGCCCACAGGATCAGCGACGACAGGCTCCGTCGGACCACGGCTGCCATTGCTGATGCCCTCAGGCTATGCCCCTCGCCGGCTCACTACGTCCCCTCCTCTCAGAGAGCCTTGTGCTCAGTATGAACCATGTGATGGGCTGGGGGTGGAAGTAAGTATCACAGCGCGCCGAGTCTCAGAGCGTCAGAGAGAGAGAGAGAGAGAGAGAGAGAGAAAGAGCGGGAAGCAAGTATCACAGCGCGCGGAGCGTCGTGCACACGTGATTTTTCTCAGATGTCGATCGGTGCAACGCGCGCGCCGAGCCGTCGTGGACGAGTGTCAAGGGAGAGAGAGCGGGAAGTATAAAGTAACAACACAGCGCGCCGAGTGTGTCGTGCAGACGAGACGAGATTTTTTCTCAAATCTCCATCTCAAAGTAAATATAAAAGTCCACGTGACGGCAAAGCGCGCCAAGAGTCGTGAACGAGCGTCAAGAGATTGCAGCAGCATCCAGTGACACGTGGCACCTGCCCGGGTGGAACGGCCGAAGTCCACGTGCTCTCTGACAGCTGTCTCTCCCTCTCTCTCTCTCTCTCTCTGTGGTCCACCCCCCCCCCCGCCGAGCTCAGGTTGTCGATTTGGTTGGCCGTCTCAGAAGTCGCCACGTGGCAGCCGGAGCTGCATAGATTACCGATCCCCTCGGGCAGCCACGTGGCTGGTGCTGTCAGTTTTTTTTTTTTTTTTTTTTTTTTNTTTTTTTTTTTTTTTTTTTTTTTTTTTGCTTTGGGCCGCTCTCGGCGCGCAGTTAGCAGATGATGGGATGGCGCACGGGGACGGGCCGCGGCGATGGCTGGTTTTGTTGTTGACGTCATTGGTGGTCGCGGCGAAGAACTACTGCTTCGACAACCCAGCCTCTCTGGAGCTTCCTTTTCGGGAAAGTCTGAAGCTGACCGAAACGGAATACAATCTGCTGTATACGGTCTACTCCGTGCCCAACGTTTTGGTGCCGTTGATCGGCGGGCTGGTGATCGACGGACTAGGGGACACGCTGAGCTTCGTGGGCTTCACTCTGTGCGTGGTGGTGGGCCAGGGGGTGTTCGCGGTCGGGGCGACGTTGAGAAGCTTCCACGTGGCGCTGTTGGGGAGGGGAATCTTCGGGCTGGGAGGGGAGTGCTTGAACGTGGCGCAATCGACCATTTTGGCCAAATGGTTTGGCGGCGGGAAAGAGATGGAGATGGCGATGGGGATCGCTCTGACTGCCACGTGTCTCGGCGACGTGCTCACCGACTGGATATGCCCCGTCATCTACGGTCGGGATTGGTCGCCGATCTTCCCGCCAAAAGAGCTCTCCTCCCCCCTTTGGCTCGGCTTCCTTGTCATGCTCCTCTCCTTCTGGATAAGCCTGATCTACGTGGCCATGGCCGTCCAGAGCCAGACCGATCTCAAGTGCGCGATCCCGACGCCGCCGGCCGCCGGCGGCCGCGTTCATCTCCTCGCCGTTGACGTCAACAACCACCACGGCGCCGCCGGGCCGCATCGGGTTGCCGTTGACGCCAACAACAGAACGAACAAGAAGAACGACAACAAGCCGCCTCCTCCTCCTCCTTTTTTTGCTTCACTACCCTCACCAACTCCTCCTCCTCCTCCTCCTCCTCCTTGTAGTTTCGACGACCACGTGGGAAACACCACGGCGGTCGGGATCGTACCGCTCCAGGCTGCTGACGTGGCAGGTGCGGATGCAATCTCGGAGAAGACGGCATCGACCATCGATCACCTGATGATGCCACATCATCATCAGCAGTCTTGGTCCGCTGACGTGGACGTCGATGATGATGGTGATGATGATGATGTGGAAACGTCGGACGTACTTGTGTCTCTTCTCCACATCAGCAGTTTCGGTCCGGTCTATTGGATGTTGAATGGTGGCTGTATTGTCATATACGCCGCTGTCGTGGCATTTCACGGGGTGGCATCGGGGGTGCTGATGTGGAAATGGCCCTCTTTGACCCTCGAGAGTGCCGGCTTGATGATCTCCGTACCTTATTTGGTGTCGGCTCTAATTAATCCACTGATGGGTTGGGGAATTACCAGGTATGGTCGAAGGGTGGTCATCTCCGGCACAGCTTTCTTCTTCCTCTCTCTCTCTCACATCTCCATCGCCTATTTCCCTTTTCCTCCGCTGGTGCCACTTGTCACTATGGGAGTCGTGTACTCAATCTATGCGGCAGCTCTCTGGCCGTCCGTGGCTCTCGTGATTGACAGCTCAGCATTAGGTACAGCATACGGATTGATCACCTCCTTGCAAAATTTGGCTTTGGTAATCACACCCATCATCGTTGGACTAATTAAGGATATCACTCACGATTACGGGAAGGTTGAACGATTCTTCGCCTTCGTTAGTATCCTCGGATTTTTCATGTGCGTCATCCTAAATTACCTCGATTCCACGAACCTGGACGGCCTCTTAAACTCTCCCCCACCTCCTCCCCCTCTTCTTCCCCCTCCTCCTCCTGTTGCGATAGCTGCTGATTCCTCTACTAATACCGTTGCTGCTGCTGACTGCATGGGAGAGACTGGATTGTGCCGCTGCCACGTGGACGCTGCTGACCCCTTGAGTGATATGAGACAACCCCTCTTACCTCCCTCCTCCTGATCTCCGCTCTCCTGATACCCCCCTTTAACCTCCTCATGTTTCTTCTCCTCCATATCCTCCTGCTGCCACCGATGGTGGAGCACTGATGACGTCTCCGTGCAGCTGGCGTGGTGCCACGTGGCATCCCAGCTGAGGTGCTGCCACGTGACATCCCAGCTGGGGTGGTGCCACGTGGCATCCCAGCTGGGGGGGTTGCCACGTGGCATCCCAGCTGGGGTGGTGCCACGTGGCATCGCAGCTGGGGTGGTGCCACGTGGCATCCCAGCTGGGGTGGTGCCACGTGGCATCCCAGCTGGGTGGTGCCACGTGGCATCGCAGCTGGGGTGGTGCCACGTGGCTGCAAAAAGTTGGCACTTTCGAACGCAGAGAAACAACCACCCCTCCTAACTTGTGATTTTTCTTGCGATCTAGACATCACCCCTCCTTTTCCTCCTCTGTCGCCAACATCATCACCCCTCCTCCTCCTCTTCCTCCTTTCTCCCCAACACCATGCCCCATCATCCTCTTCCTCTTCTCAGCTTTTTCAACCCCTCCTCCTCTTCTTCCTTTCTTCCCAACATCATCACCCTTCCTTTACCTCTCTCCTCAACATCTTCACCCCTCCTCGTTCTCTCTCCCCAACATCATCGCCCCTCCTCCTCTCTTCCAAACATCATCACCCCTCCTCCTCCCTCCCGACCCTCATCACCCCTCTTCCTCCCCTCTGCCTAACACCCAACATCCTCGGCTCTCCTCCTCTGCCCCCCCAATCACCACTTCCCTATTCATCCGAATGGAACGCACGGTCTTTATCGCTGTACTACGGTAGACTGAAAGTTGCCCCACATACAACTATAATGACCGTGCGTTCTATTCGGGGGAAGACGGCAGTGATACTGACCGCCAGTCCAAAGTATTCGTGGCGGTGATAACCTTTTTTTTTTCCTCCAGGTTTTKTTCAGGTCATCATTGTGCAGGGTGTTGATTTTTTTTTTTTTTTTTTTTTTTTTGTGATCATCTGTTAGGCTAACCCGCTCTGTACACGTGTATATTTTCTTCCTGTTTTCTTTTTGGGAAAATTGTTGACATGCCCCTGAAAGTTGGGATACTTTGGTCAGATACCCCTAAAAGGCATGGGTATGGCCAAATGCCCTATGACAGTCATGAAACTTGGTGACATATACTAATGGCCAACTGGACCCGCCATCTTTCGTCCATACCCCTCGGGGCCCTGTGCAACTTGTCCATGTGCCCCTGCATTTCGGCCGTTGGACCCTTGGCAAAAACGTGTACATACCCCTCGGGGTCCTGTGCAACTTGTCCATATGCCCCTGCATTTCTGGCCTTTGGACCCTTTGCAAATGCCCAGGTGCCGGTTTTTCTGTTTGCCCCTGTAGCTGTTCACAGCCGACTGAGTCCATCCCCTAAGCTGGCAAATTTCTGCAAATGGCCCTACAGGTACAGGACATCTTTTCTGTTTGCCCCTCCATATGTACGGGACTCACTGAGCCCATTCCCTGGGCTGGGGCAGCCCATGGTGGGATAAAACACAAACGGCCGTCCTTGCCAGCTGCCCTGCGCCCAGATGCAGTTGGATGATGCATTTTTCTGTGTCAGACCATCGCCCTCTCTCTCTCTCTCTCTCTCTCTCTCTCACACACACACACACACACACACACACACACACGCGCGCGCGGGGACGGCACGCCACAACACACACAGACACACACACACACACACACACACACACACGCACGCACGCACGCACACAGACACGCGAGCGGGGACGGCACGTCACAACAGCAGTGTGCAAGTACTCTTGCAGGATTAAATTCAATTTTAGTTTTATTTTTTAAAGCCCAAATGGCACTATGATGCGAATTGGAAGACAGAATTCTGCGAGTCGGTGTGCCGTATCATTTGCAACGTGTTGTATCATTTGCAACGTGTTGTCACACTTTTATGGGATGCTGGGTTTCTGGGGCCAGTTTGCAGCAGTTGTCGGCCACCATAGGAGGGCATTCTTCGACAAAGCAATGATAAGAAAAACTGCTGTTTTGTATCCATGCACATTGCAGATATTCATGTTTGAATGCATTGGTGCTGGCCTTTTTTCCCCTCGTTTTTTCTCTTTTTGCACCCTCTATACCCTTGCTTTTATAGAAAAAAAAAACTGCAGAAGCATGCATTTTATCTGGCCTCTCTTTTATACAAAAAAAAGAAGCACACAAACATGTGGAACAGGAATATGTAACAAACAAACAAACAACAGGAATATGGGAACGACAAAGGCAGCCACAAGGAGTGGAATGAAGAAGGCCAAGGAATGAAACTGTGTGTGTGTGTGTGTGTGTGTGTGTGTGTGTGTGATGATGTGTGTAAACACATATTGCGGAGCCCTCAGCACGGTACAGACCACGCACTGTACCATCGCAACACTTCAGGAGGAGAATACGCATCCGAGTGGAGTCGAGTCTAAAGGCAGGGAAAAAGACAACACCGAAAACACACTGGCAACAAGCAGCAAGGCTGCACATGGGCTGGAGGACAGAGAGGAGGAGGGAGGGCAGATGACATACAAGCAGCGGACACGAGAGGCAGCAACAAAGAAAAAAGCCTTAGGGCTGGAAGGCACGGGGGAGGCAGGACAGCAGATGACACACAAGCACACTAAACAGGCAAATGAGGGGGTGGCGGGGCGGGGGGAAACAGTCCCAAAAATGTTTCGAAGACCAAAAAAAAATAGAACTGATGAAAGATTGTTTTGTCGGAGTTGCACTGACTCAGCAGGAGGCAACTGGAAATTGTCCGGATTACCCGATGACCCATGCGAGGAACCACCCCTCCTCGAATCAGGAAAATGAGTGCACTTTGGCCCCAAGAATGAAGGGACACTTGGTTCAGACATCATACCCACACAGCAGCTAGCCAATCAGGAAGAAGGAGGTCAAGTTTTTAAAGAAATTATATCATAGCTCACGGGGGAGAAAACGTTTTTGCAGATTCCACAAAAACAGTTGCCAACGTCACACATTAAGCAGAGTCAGAATCTCATCGAGTGGGATAGGGAGTCACTAGATTTGCATAAATTCTGAGCTGCTGGAATCTGTAGTGCCTCAAGAGCCCTCGTTCTCTGATAACTCGGTTACAGATAGTCAGTCCCTTGAGACCATTGCTTCAGATTCCCAGGTATCTGGTCAACCAGGCAATCCCTCCGATGTCCAGGATGAGGGGGACAGTAGGAAGGACCAAAAGGTTTTAGAAAGTTCCCAAAACCTGCCTTCCTCTCAAACCCCCTTTTTTGACAATTAGCCTGAACTCACAAGCAAAAGACAAAGACTTAAACATCGGTTAGCTAAGGGGCAAGGAGAGCTATCACCTACTAAAGTTGGGACAGTATTCTTACCAGTAAGACATCAAGGAGGGACCTGGGAGGTTGGTTTATCCGAGTCCCCGGGAGCAGTCTACGGAGAAATTACAGTTTTAGGATCTGCGTCTCCCCCCCCCTCTCCTTCCTTTTCTAAGAATGATGTATTGAGTTTGTCAAAACAAACTTCCCGCCCGGGGGTAAGGCTCAACTACCGGTAATTGATGGAGAACATAGACTGGCTGAAGGTGATGTATATTTGAAATATGAAGTTAGCAAAAACTCGGATCTCATATGGTTCAGTCAGGAAGCTCTGTGTGAGCTCCAACTCCTCAAGGTAAAAGCCAATGAATTCTGGTCAGAAACAGACGTTGGAACCTTGTTGGTTAGGATCCTGGGCTTTAAGATTTTGATGTCAGGTGGATTGCTAGACACAGGACAGTGGTTAGACTTGTGACCCCCCTCTGATCCCCCTTCATCAGGCCTTACTACCACACCTCGAATCGTTTTTTGACTGTGTTGTATTGGCATGGATAATCTTCGACTAATTGACGCTCTTTATAATAAAGATAAAGCATGGAAATTACTCAGAAGAAATGCGGACCTTGACCTCAGATCTCTGAATGTTAATGGTTTAGCATCAGCGAAGTACCAAAAAAAGCAAGCAATTTATGACCAGATAAGAGGCATTGGAGGTAAGGAATGGCCTGATGTGATCTGCATCGAGGAGACTCACCTTATTGACTCAGACCATCATAACTACTGTCACAAACAAATCTGGTCTTTTACAGCCTTCAGAGCTCATGCCCCTCGCCCTGGGAGTGCTGGAGTAGCTATTTGGATTCCTCCAGGATCCAAGGTAGAACCGATATACTGGGATACTGACAAAGAGGAAGACAGGTGGGTACATATTTTGGCAATGATGGAGCTGGAAGTAGTCAGCATCCTATGTCCTATGCGTATACGGCCCCAACGATGTTGGGGATCGTCAACGTTTTTTTTAATCCCTCCCCCTTCTCCTCCCCGAGGGAATCCCGGTCATAATCGCAGGGGACTTTAATGCCGCCCCGGACCGAACCCTTGATAGATGGAATATTCCCACTCCCTGTCCTGCTTACGTGGAGTCAGATGAGATGTTGATGGCTAACTTATCTCAATCTCTAAATCTTTTTTATTATTTTAGGCGAATGAATCTGTCTCAGTGCTCCTATACATGCTACAGGAAAAACCAAGCCAGAATGACCACCAAGCCACGAATAGACCTCATCCTTCTCTTTGAAGAACTGGAAGGTGCTCTTCAGGTGGCTGAAATTTTTCTTCGTAGTCCCCTTCTCGGACTCGACCATGCGATCTGTGTAGCTGGTAAGAAACCAGACTAAGGAAAGGGCTACTATAAACTCAGTACATCTCATCTTAAGATTGAATCATTCAAAATATTTATCAAGGATGTGTGGTCCTTCTGGAGAAATCAGAAGGCCACCATAAGCAATGACATTCAATGGTTCAACAACGGCCTAGTCTTTCTAGGTCGTAAATGCAATGAATAAATCGAAATTATTAGAAATGGAACGACATTCTTCAGAAACACGTATTTTTCAACTTATCCAACAACTACAACAATCAGAAATTGAAGAAAGAGACTCTGGAATTATTAATGAATTGGCCAGGGAAATACAAGAACTGGAATCACAATTACTTGCTCATATGGAATATAGATGGCAAGGAATGAGGATTCGAGGTAAAATTCGAAAACATCACACGGAAGGAGCTATGGATGCTAGATTT